GAAGCAAGTATACGGTTGACATTCATTAATAGTTTGTGAGTTTTCTCAAAGCCAAACATCTGCTTTGGCATCCAACAATGTTCTGAAGCTTTTTAAAATATTTTATTTAAAGGCATGTCTGTTGAGCATTTATTAGCGTCATTTGTGCTTTATGACTACTCTTTAACTAGAACATTTATTCAGAGAACTCCTTAAAGTTTAAAACAGTCTCAAAACATTTAAGAAGTAGATTCAAGAAGCAAAGAAATCCTTTATTTAATGTACTCAAGCTATGACAGAAAGTATGCAACATATCCCTTCAGACCTCCGCCTGGAGGGTCCCTTGTTGGGGCTGAGGTGAAAGGTTCTGCCTGGAATGCTGCTCCCGAGTGAGGACGCTCACTGAGGTCAAGTGTTTTTTTATGCACTGTGGGGAAATCGCCTAAACGGGGGTTAAACTTTGATTAGAGATGTTGCAAGTAGGGGAAAATGCTCACTTCAATTTCACTCCTGCTTTTCAGAAGACATGAGTACATAAATTATGTAGAAGAACGGTGATTACGAGACTGTCTAAAAGCTGCAGGCTCTAGGCCAATTTTCAACCAACTGTCACAGAACATAAGTTTCAATATATGTTTAAACGAAACTGACAACTACAGAAAAAAACGTAAAATTCCTTGAAAGGCTGGGTTATGCGAACCGACGAGGATCTCAGAAACCACATGCGATTTAACGCAGGGCAATACTGAACTGCAACATCCCCACTCTCTTCTGCAGGGAGTATTGAGAGAGGGGGAACCGATGCTTCCCCAGATTAAGTTAATCCAAGCAGTAGACAGAGTCTTCCCAGCACAGAGTGGCCAACAGAAGTAAGGTTCATCCGGAAAAAAAAAAAGGGGGAAGAAAGAAAGGGTTCAGAGAAATCTTCTGGCCCGGAAGCTCCTGCGCTGGAGAGAGGCGACCCCGGACGCATGCGTGTGTGCGGGGCTCCCCACCTCTCCAAGCCAGAGGAGCCCCACTCTTGGCTGCTTCAGCCATCAGGCTCCCTGGAGGGCCTGAAAGATGGCTCTACGCCAAGCTCCACATTTCACAGGTCACAAAGCCAAGGCCCGAGGGATGCCATTAGGTACCTGCAGTGCCAGAAAGGGAGCATTAGGATGAGAATTTTGGGAATCCCCAGCTAAGATGTCAGGACACCAATAATATAAGCTGTAAGAATTTAGGGCATAAAAGACTGGTAACTAAGATAAAAAATTATTTTCTGATAGTTACTTTGCAGATTAGCTCTTGAGGTGACTGTGTACACAAATCTCCACGACTCTTGGAGTGAGCCTTTCCCTCCTCCACCCATCTGAGGAGTTTCAGGGAGTCTGTGAAACCCCTGAAATGGTGCATTTACTATTACACATTTGTGTGCATGTGTATATTCTGGAGGAGATGGTCCAACGCTTTCATTTGTTCTTCAAAAGCACCTGCGATCACACCCAGTGATAAGAATGGGTGAACTCGAGTAAGAGAAAGAAGGGAGGAGGCCCACAAAGTGTAGGTTATGTTTATTACCAGGAAAACTGACCAGAAATTGCCCTAACACAAGAGGCATGTTTCCCATTAAACTACTCACGTTACACAGGTAAATGTGCACAAGGTGAAAAAGAAAGGTGCGTGGTGGTCATGAACATACAGTACCCGATAGACTGATAAAACCAGATTTCATTTTACTTCTTGGGTTTTACATACTCCAAAAAAATATTTGAGGAATAACATGCAACCTTCCCTTTGTAAACCAAAACCAGCACTCCAAAGCCCTGAATAATTTGGGGGCGTGGGCATTATTTCCGTCTCTCAATATTCCCTTCAGTAAATGGTGGTAGGAGACTTCGTGACTACGACGGAGAACAACTGTTTCTTTCAGTTCCACTGCAGACTCCTCCGGGAAAACGCTCATCTCTCATAACTGTGTCAATTAGGCGGACACTAAAAACTGCCTTCTGCCCTTTATGCTGATAATGGCAGGGCAGAAAGAGGCTGACGTAATGCTGAAAGCTGTTGCTGGTGTGGAGGGCCTCCTTATCCATTACGGGAAGACCTTCCCTCCACTGTCGTCCTGCACAGACTGACAAGAAATAGATCGGAAAGAAGTCTGAGGGAAAGCCCATAGGGCTAGAGTGAACATAAACGAATTTGGGAAACAGTACCGTATTATATTTTGAAATAATCTTCAGTATTTATCGGGAGCATCTCTTATAATGAAGTAAAATAGAGAATTTCCTGAAGCTGGGAGATGGTAATCATCCAAAAACCCAGGAAAGACACTTGCGTGTCACGGGACAGAGGGAGCTACAGAATTTCTCACCTATGCCTGCCCAGGGGGAGGAGCATTATCGTGGAGATCACACTTCGAGGTCAGTAAGCTCAATGACACGAAGATGGTCTGCGCCAACAGTTAAATGCCAAGAGGCACCAGGCCAAGAAGGTGCAGAGACATAAATTGGGTAGGGGCACTGATGTAATTATGGGTTTAGATGAATTCTCAAAGCCAGACCGGAAGCTGAACCACAGTCCTTATGGGAAAAGAGAGATTATGAAGGCAATTAGAAGAAAAAAAAAGCCGAGGAAAGATACTTTACTTAAAAAAAAAGCAAAATGAGAAAGCAAGCCTAAAACTCTAAATAAACCCCAGTGACTGCACAGGGGCCTCCGTGGTCCTCCGACACCCGTAAAGCAGGATGGAGGGAGGGAGGGGCCACACACATCTTTACAGGCTGGGCTGCAGAGCCGAGCTGCACGTGCACGGCAGGGTGTGAGTCCCTCCCGGGGACCTGGAGGAGCCCTGAGGTCCATGTGACTCATGAGTGTCCAGAACAAGGATCTCGGGAGGGAATTTCACAAGCACGGAACATACTTTCCCTCCCTTGACGCTGCTTGCTAGCTTTTCTCTCCCTCTGCTATTGTTTAATTTGTGGCTCAAGTTTCTGAAGAATGGTGGGAGGTACTGTGTTAAGCAATGCTGCAAGAATGGGGCTCAGCTGCTGGGACTGCATTTTGAACACTGGCCTCACACATCTTTCAAACCGATTGTGATTCTTTCTACTTGAGCAGAAAGAAAAGTACTGGAAGAAGAGCAGGTGGGAGATCTTATCCACCTTGCGTGTGCACCATTGACGTCTGGCACACAGTCGGCACAGGGCGGAGGCTGCAGACTCGAGGGAACTGGTCCTTTTATCTGAATAGCTCTGGGCTCTGTTTTGTTTCCACACAGATGCCAACAGTCATATCACTTAATGTGTTTTCAAGAAAACTTTTCCTGATCCCTGTGATCCCATTAGTGACAATGATTGAACAACCAAGTCTGGCACAATGTCATCCCGACGAAGAGTGTCAGGGTTGCACATTACTAAGACTTCTAGAGATTAGCAAGGAACCAAGAAAAGGTACTGGAAACACATGTTTTAAAAAGCATGAGGCCCTGGCCGGTGTGGCTCAGTTGGTTGGAACATCGACTTGTAAACCAAAAGGTCCCTGGTTTGATCTGAGGCAGGGCACGTACCAGAGGCGACCTGCCAGTGTCTTCCTCTCCCATCGACCTTTCTCTCCCTCTCTTCCTCCCTTCCTTCCCTGCCCCCTCAAATCAATAAGCATGTCTTTGGGTAAAGATAAAATAAAATAAAGTAAAGTAAAATAAAATAAAATGCATGAGGATACCAAGGTGAAAATGACATAGTGAAGATAAAAGAATTTCTAATTCTCTCTTCAGGATTAAGCAAGAGATTAATTATTACTAACATGAGTTATCTATGCAATGTTTTTTCCAGAAGCTTTATGGTAATATTTTTATTAATACATGCAACTGAGAAGAGAAAGCAACTCAATTCTGTGATTAGGATACAATTTTATAGGCTGACGTGCTTATAAAGGGTACTTATTAAGTATGATTTAAACTAAATTTCACAGAGTATATTTCAGTTGAAATTTGGGAAATATCAACATGGCATGGCTTATAAGTTTGGAGACTATTATTATATACAGAATGCTTAGTGACTAAGCCTGGACCCCCCCTAAACAAAACAAAACAAAACAAAACAAAAACAAAAAAGGTTTGAGACTCATAACATTCTTTAAAAAATAAATACATTTTAAATAAAATAATAAAAGCAAATACTACAGTTTTAAAGAGAAAATTAAAAGCACAGATTCTAAGAAATTCTTCAGAAGCTAACAGTTCATCTCCCAGAAAAAGGGAGAGGAATCAAAGAAACTGCTACTCTGGACCTCGTCTGACCAGATAGCTGGTCCCATTCGGTGCCTGGATGCTGAAGAGGAACATCCTTAGGTATCATGGTGACCAGATGAGAAGGGACTGGGCACAGTCACGAATTTACCTTAAATTTCAGGAAGACATAGTTTAAACAGTTTAGAAAAAGGGATGGATGGGCAAGAGTCTTTGACCAGAAGTTCAGGAAGGACTGGACGGTTTACAAAAATACAAGTCTACGCGTGAAGACTCGATAACTCAAAACAGATTTTATTTTAGGATACAGGCAATATTATAAGTGAGAGGGTGATATCATAAATTAAAGGACTGTACAGTCAATAATTATTTTCCAAATAGCTGAGCCTTCAGGAAAATGTTCAGCTATTTGGAAAGCGACTCGGTGCATGCCTCCCTCCACACCACTCCCCAACATAAACCCGGGCTGCAGGGTCAGAGATTGAGGTACAGAACCCAGAACCTTGCAGAAATAACACTAGTTGGAAACGCAGAGGTGGATTTTAAACAAAGAAAATGATAAGAAACCTGCCAGTTCTAACTGTGAACAGTAGCTATTAGGGATCGTTAGGACTCACTTTCAAAAACTCTGCTGATGAATTCCAACTCAGTTTGGGAACCCTGAGTCCGAGTTACTAATAAATAATGTGACATTTACAAATTCTGGGTAGAATAACTTTAAGAAACTTTCAGAGTCACGGAACTTAGGATAAAGTCACTCTACCAAAATCGGACAATATTCAGGAGAACTTACCTGCAGCAAATAACAGCTTTGCAGGACAAAGCCAAGTCCAGGAAATAGTGCCGCACCCCAAAAGTCAGGGCGTACTTGAGGGTCTTCCCATCAATTATAAGAGCGAAGTCATTCTCTTTCCGGAGAGCATCGCCGAGGGTAACGCAGTGGCGACTGAGAGTCTCCCTCGTTCCCTATAAAATTAAACACACAAACAAAACGCCCGTTTGTTCCATGTTCAGGATGTTCGGCAACTACATTTAGTTATTTTTAGCGCCTTTTCTGTTTCAAGAGGTTTTCATGTACCTTCACTCATTTAATTCTCTCAAAGGCTGCTCAAGGGAGATGGGACAAACATGATCAGGAAAGGCAAGTCACTTGCTTGAAGTCACACGTGTGTTCCCTACAGGCTTGGGACTAGAGCATGAGTCACCTACTCCTTTACAATCTGTGCTTATCACTCTAACCACACAAGCACCATCCTGCAATAACATGTCCAGTAAATAGTCTTATTAAAAAACAACATTGCCCTAATTTATAGCACGTCCAAACCGCTAGGCCAAAAATCCAGGAGAGAGTTGGGGAATACAATTTAAGTAATTTATGGCTATTCTCTCAGAAATCCTCAATGCTACTGAAACTTAATTCCCAGTCACCAACAGGAGAAAATGCAGCATCTATAATCTCCTGCCACTTCATGAATTGGCCTCTGTAACTTTAATCATTATTTCATGATGCTGTATTTTTGCTGGGGATGGTGACATATGGCTTGGTAATCTTGATGGATCAAATAAAAACCCCTTCCATCAATGAAGAGTTCACGTTCGGGCACAATACAGACCTTTAGTGTCAAGAAAGGCTTTGTTCACCTCAACTACACAGAGCAGCTGTGTTAGTCTCTCTCTGTCAGGAACTGCTTTCCCAGCTCCTCAAAGGCAAAATGTTTCAGGATATTTAGCTTTTTCTCGCCAAAACCTATAAATTCTTCCTCTAACCTAAGGGGACCCCCTTCCTGTTTCACAAAAGCCCTAACATCACGAAGAAGCAGAGCCCTCGCTCCGCACAGGGACAAAGGAAGGAATTAGTCCCTCCTTCCAGAGTTCTGTTCCGAGTGCAAATATCTGAGCCTGTAGTTACTTGGGCAATAAACACAAATATACATATGTCATGTATTCATATAATAAATTATACCTTCAATGAAAACACTCATAACACTTTTTATTACGTTCATGGGAGATAGAAGTATTGTTCCAATTTAAGAATATGGAACAGTCATTTCAAAGTTATTTTCACAAGGAGGGAAGCAAAGGCAGAGGTGATTAAAATTTTATATTGGGGATTTCTGAAGGTGTTCCTGCAATCATATTCAAATGTGCTTCACGCTATGTTCTGGAATTTCAGAACCTGCTTATCAAAGTAATCGAACCAGACTGCAGTGTAAGGTAAGACCGCCCAGTTTTCCCAGCGTGGGGGCCTGCCTTAACACTTCCCTCATCCCCTGTCACCCGTTGACCCCAAGGACCACCATGTCGCAGTGTTCTTCGCAAAATTTTCTGTTCACACTTCACACTGAGGGGAAGTAGCTGTTTTAATTCATAGGCTTCACCTTCTTATTTCCTGCTGGACATTTTTGGCTCAAGAGGAATTAAGAAAAGGAGATAAAAAAGAAGGCAGTGAAATGCTTCAAGCAAAACTTATCAATGACAATCTGTAGCAGATTAGCCTGGACTGTCTTAAAACTGGCTGTCTTCACATAGGTTAAACAGACAAACAAGGACATCAATGGACTGACAAACAATAAAAGTGAAATGAGATAATATTCAGCAGGTACCACACACTAGGCTTGCTTCTAAGGGCTACACATACAGATACAACATTTCAGTTAAACTTATTACCACTGCAGGCAGAAGGCTCTACTGTGATTCCCATTCTACAGATGGGGAACATGAGACAAGAGTTCCAGTTCCTTGCCCATGAACGCACAGCTACTAAGTAGGGAAATGAAACCGAGAATTAAATTTCTGTGTAAGCTTGTCCTTTTTCTGCACAGTCCAGCAAACGCAGATCCAACTTCAGACAGCACCAGGCCAAGCAAATTACAAACGGAGGGCCCACACATTCTCTGCTGCTTCCCTGGAGGCTTATCATCTGTCATCTCTACCGCCAACAGAGGTTTCTCTTTATAAAACAAATTTAAAACACAGATCATGTCTCTGCTTGTTCTCTTTTCTATGGCTTCCTAGTCTCTACATGATATATTCCCAGCTCCTTAAAATGGCATTTAAGGCTTTCCACAATCCAAGCCCTGCTAACATTCCCCACCTCGGCTCCTTTGTTTCCTGTGTCTGGAATGACAGGTCTACCGCCTTCTCAACCAAGCTCACCCGACTGAGCCTCCCACACACACTGCACTTCCAGGTCAACTCACTAGGAGCTACCGAGGCCTGTAGGTCCTGGAGGGCAGAGGCCACGTCTAACCTGCTTCCCAGCGACAAACACAGTTGGCCGCGATTACGGAGACTGGGGAAGTACAATACTGAGTGAGAGCACTGAGGAATTCTGATTTCATCCTATTAACAGCATTCCATTTCCCCATTATTATCACTTCTGATTAGAGAGAGAGAGAAGGAGGGAGAGAAGAGGTAAGAGGTATTCATTCCCTTGCTTGCTCCTTAATTTTCTAGAGGAATAACTCATTATTTCAATAGTCTTTCAAACCAAAGCACTGCTCACTAAAATGCCACTGTATTTTTTCTAAAGCCCAACTGTCTCCTGAGTTGAAAATCCAAGTAAAACCTGAGATGGACCTACGGAGGACTTTGAATTTCTTTACAGATCCACTGCAGAGCAAGGCTGAGAGTCAAGTCAACCCCGAGCTGTGCCGCCTCCCCCATAAACCGGCCTGCGGGACAGTCTTGTGCACCCCTGCTCCCCGCTTTGGAAGGTGTTCTCTGACACCTTAACATTCGCTGAGAATTCTCTCATTGGTGGCATCAGTACCCCGGCTCTCCTTGGTGATTATCACAGATCTTCAGCAAATCAAAAGGTGTCCAGAGATGTAACTGAGATAAAATTTCCGAAGGTGAGTCAAAAGCTTCTCACTGTGCGTTCTGCAGCTGGCCCCCCTAGGGTGCAAGGTAACACCACCCAAAAAGCTGCAAACACTTCCTTATTTTAGTTCGTATTTTCCTTCTCACGGAGTGCTGGTGTTGGCTGTGTGTTGCCAGTTACAAGTTATATTTTACCCTTATTTATACTGCCAGGAGTATTCTAAAATTCTTTTATTTGTAAAAGTTTATTGCTTCTCCCCTAAGCTCGGGAGCCGTGCTTTATGGCCATCTTGCATTGAAGCTTATCTCCTGTAGCTAGAAATAAATTTATTATGATATTAACTGTTGCTTTGTTTTCTTTTTGGCTACCGGAGGGGGAAAATGTTTAAACATTTAAACTTAGTGTCATGTGAAAGTGAAAATATATAAATGAGAAGCTAAATCTGTGCAAGAGTAAAAGACCACATAGTACCACAAAATAAAAGCTCTGTATTTCCTCATGTTACACAGTCTCCTTTGTGGGCTGAAAGAAAAGGAGCAGCTGTCGCTGTAATAGGGAGAGCCAGCAGTAAAGGCAGTTTGGGGAGACAGACGGGCCAGGGGGCAAGGCTGGGGTTCGGGCGCCATCGCAGGCAGTGATGCAGCTAAGGGAGGGGCCACAGGGAGAGGGGATTCCTGTGCCTCCCGTGTTCCCACGTCAGGCAGTCATTCAACCCTACCCTCTCCACCCACAGGCAAGCGCTCAGGAGAAGCCCTCCGTCCCTGGACCGCCTCCCATGCTTTCCTGCTTTGCCACTTCACAACGTGGGCCACAACCAGCCTTCTCCTCGGTCCTGTCTTGACAGCGAAGGAGGGAAAATGCTATCTCCCCACGAGGACAGGCTCTGCTCCACTTTCTTCTCTTCCACGGGTGCCTGTTACTACCAAGATTGACTTTTCTCTGTGGCTACCGGACTCCATGCTTCCCAGAGGTTACTCCATATCTCAAGATCCCCAATTTGGCCCCTGTTGCTTCAGCAAACATCTACTTGCTTTACTGAGCACATTTATACCAGGGAGATCATTTATCCCTCAATTATTTCCTCTTAACCTAAATAAAAACTTCCCTTTACCTGATCCTCCCTAATTCTTGAGCCAGGGGGAAGAAGTCTCTTGCATCATCACCTTCCCAATGCCATTATTTTTCCAAGACTACATACTAAAAACAATAAACAAATAAATCAAGAAATGGACCCTTGATCCAACTTTTTTGAGTCCTCCAGGTGATATGAATATTTCCATCTTTCAGATTCTTCAAATAATTTTTTATACTTATGCAACATAGCATGATGTACATATTGTAGCTTATCTGTTTATATCTCTGTTTTCCCCTTCTGGAATGAGGTCCCCGAGGAAGAGATGAAATAAAATGAACAAAAGCTTGGTAATACAAGAAAAACTAAATTATTAATTAATGGAGAATATATCTTGTGGTAAGTTACAAGGGGTTCCTTGTCTGACCATTTTGAGGACTGCTTTTTGCTGCCTACAAAACTTATGTATAATCCTTGATACTCTTAATTAGAACAAGTAAAATGCTAATATGTTTATCTTATAGGAAAGATGGAGAACAAAGTGGAAAAGTGGAAGCTATAATCCAATGCCGACTTCTGTCTTAAATCATATAAATTGTCGAAAGAATATAACATAACAAACACCTTGATGAGCTACTTAGTGATCAAGCCAGGCCGTGTGACCTCAGGCTAAGGGAAAGCAAACAATATACATTTGGTGAATAAGACAGATGCTTGGAAAAGAAAAAGCCAGAAAGACATGTGGCAGATACTTGGGCCAAGTAGAACTCCTCACAAAGATAACTCTGACCAGAAACTTTTTAAAAAGTTCCATTAGAATCTTCAGGGTAGAGCCTAGAAAAACAGATAACAAGTTCATAAGACAACAATAATCTTACAGAAATCAGAGATGGGCGGCTTTATGGCAATCTTTTTCATTACTTTTACATGACCTTTACCAAGAAAAAACCCTTGATAAAAATCACAGAGGGCACCCGAGACAATGAAATCTGACAGTTTTATAGTGAGATGAATCGAAAGCCCCGGTTTCTTTAGAAAGGATCACAGCATGCAAGATGTCATTTTCACCTT